TGCTTCCCTACTAGATGGCCCCTTGTTTAACTTTAAGCCTTTAAGACCCCAAACACTATCTTTTTTGATGGTCGGGCACCATCTGTTATGCACCCAATTTTGTCTTCAGTGATCATGTCAGGAAGGTGAGTATCAAAGAGTGCCAGGTTATTAGAACAAAGTGTTCGTGTTGTAGGGGAGGCCTTGAGTAGAGGCCCAAATTGCATCCGCTGTCTTACTACTTAACATATAAATATATGTGTGTACATTGGCCTCTATCCTTTTCATTATAAATTGAATATATTTACATAAATACATGCCTATAGCTGTACCTCTCTAAATAGCTTTTGCCTCCTATTTCTTGCTCTATCATTTTTTTTCTTTTGTTTTTGCTTGTTTTTCTTGCGCACTATGTCTCTCTGTATAAAATAGGCAGGACAAACAATCCCTAGGAGAAAACAACAGGACCAGTAGTTCAGGAGGGGCAGGGAGTAGCCATGGGAGCCAACAGACACAGGGATAAGGGAACAACAAGAGATCTAAAATTGGGGGTGAAGAGGTTGTATAGTGCCTGGTGGGGTTTGATCAAGTGCAATGTATCCAAGAGGAATTACTGAGAGCTGAATGGAGGGTGAGTAAGCATGATAGTGGGACAGGAAGAAGGTGGAAGGAAATAGTCGTGGAAATCTTAAAAGTGTCCTGTAGTCAGAAAACCACTCAGTGGGAATGGGTGGTGGTGGTGGTAATCCCTTAGTTTGGATGCACGTTGGGGGGGGCCTGCTCCCTCTTTCCTTTACCTGCGTACTTTGTAGTTTTTAGTTCTAACTCATTATTGGAGGCCTTAAATTTGAAGATGGAAGCTCACAAATGTAATTGCTTATTTTAAGGTTTATTATATATTCACAATTCCCTCTCTGGAGCGCTTAGACTAGCTTGCACTGCTGGGCAAATTATATAAACCTGATTTTTATAGGTGTTAACTGACACATGAAAGGGGAGAAAATGGCTTCTTGAATTGATGCATGTAGGTAATTTTTAACATCCATAAAAAAATATTGAGAGTGCTTTAGCTCAATAGGATGACAAAATTTTTCACATTATATGCAAACTTGTACTCTATTGGGGACACTTAATAGTAAGGGACTGTGTGATCCCATAAAGAGTTGCAGTCTTAGGAACCCACAGGGCAGGGACAATTCTGCCCTGCCCTCTTAAGATCACTATGAGTTGGAATCTACTTGATGGCAGTCAGGTGGGTTTTTTCAGTTATACATCGTGACATGAAGGTGAGGAGAAAGGCATGGCAGCAACATCTGATTGCCACCACCTCCCCGGGCTGAATGCCACAAGGCGAGGATCAGACATGCCTCTGCCTTCCATCCATAACCTTATTCTGACACTCACCATCCCTCACATACAACTCACAGGTGATATTCATGATTATGGGGTTTATTAGGAAAATTAACAGTTTAAAATGCAGTTGAAAAATTGTCCAGTCAGGGCAGCCAATAAGTGCCCAGAGTGCCTGCCTCCCTGTTAACATGCCTCAACCAGAGGTGCTCTGCTCCCCAAATTAAGTGCTCAAGAGACATCCCACTCCCCAAGCTAGCCTCCTGCCCCAAAGCACTCAAACTATACTGGCTTTGTGAGCTGGGAAGTCACCACTGTCCTGTCTCACGGGCTTCTCCTGATTCTGCGTTTGCTCTTCCTCTGCCTTCCTTGGGTGTCAGAGCTGCTCGTGGATCAAGAAGGTCCAATGCACAAGGATCTCGGGACTCAAGGAACACGTTCCACTCCTTGGCACTTTTCTATTCCTGGTAGTGAAACTACCTTCCTGCTTCTGAGCTGGCTTATTTTATGCCCAGCAGGGTGGTAATCACAAATAATAAATCACTTGGACCTGAATCTAATAACCTGTATAGAACCTTCCCCCACCTTCCTACCTAGAGCCATCAGGAAAATGAAGGCGCTAGTAGCAGAGGATAGAGGAGTCATATTGAGTAATTCGCTGTTTCATAGGTGTGTGAAATAAGGTGTATGGGATAAAGTGAAAGACCATTCTAACCAAGTCGTGCTTGTTTGTGTAAGAATTACCTAACAGTTTTAAAAGTACTCTAGCTTTTTTATTTATTTTGCTTATTGTTGTGAAAAAATGTAAAGACAGCTCTACAGAGTGAGTTTGTATTGTTGGCTCTTGGTGTACAGTTCTTGTGAGGAAATGTTGGCTTGTTTAAAACAACTGTTAGATATGCTGCTCAGCTGCAACTGTCCACATTTTTTCTCCCACCTACCCACCCGTCTTCCCACTCTTCTCTATCTTCTCCTCTATCATACCTTGACTCTTACATGAATGAGTTAGGGCCAACTCCTGACCTATGCTCTGTACCACACTAATCCAGAAAGAAGGCCTTTGGACAACACCACTTTAGAAGTCACAATTCCTGACAAGGTGATTTTTGCTTTCCTTAAGTGAAGGTTTAATCAGCATTAACTTTAAATTTCCACTAGAACTACTACATAAACGTAGATTATGTTTTTCTACAAAAAACAGTGCCTTAATTGCAAATTACTTATCAGATTTATCATCAGATAAACACATTGTAATTTTTTCCCAAATATCTTAAGAACTAGCAATCATAGTAGCATGAATGGTAGATCCAGCTAGTCATTTCTAAATAGAATCATTGCATTCTTTAAAGTATATTTGTAACAAAAAAACATTAATTTGAGTAGTGCTACTGTAAGAATATGGGGACTGCATCCGACCTCCTGTGGCTGCAAAAAGGGGAAGGAAGAGACTCAGTGTGGCCATTACCCCAAAGGTGATTTCTGTGTGAGCAGAAGTGAGAAAGCCTCTTCTCTTTTTCCTTGATTCTTTCTGGCACTAGCAGTCCTTTCCACCGCACTCTGCACTTCTCAGTTCATTTTGACGAGTCCCTGCAGTGCCGGCACAAGAACCCCTAGACCATGATTCCACTTGTGGGTTTTATTTGGGAATTCCCTAGTTTCTCTGCCACCAAGTCGATTCAAACTGCAGTGAGAAATGCTCAGAACAGGGTTCTTTCCAGTTGGGGTAGCGTCGTCTGAGCCGTGCCTGCAAGCAGGACTCTGGTCCTTGACCACTGCCCTACTATGACAATGTTGCCAACCCTGGGGCTGCTTATAACACCTAGAAGCAACCCAAGCCCATCTGGAGGCTCTTTTTCTTTAGTTGTTGGGAGGTGCCCTGGATTGGGTTCCAACTCAGAGTGACACTGTACAGTAGGACAAAACCCTGCCTGGCATGAATGATTAAAATACCATGGCTGGGGTTAGGCACATCTTAGTTTAAAAGAGGTCTTTGTAGCAGATTTGCCTGATTCACTGCATCGTTTGCTTTCCTGACTCCTTCCTTGAGCATTGACTGTGGATACAAGCAAGATGAGATCCTTGACGACTTCTATCTTTTCTCCATTTTCCATGATTTCTGTCTTAGTCAAGTCCTGCTCTCACTCCCTAACTGGTGCCTGAAAGCACCCACTCCACAAGGTAGTCTTCTGCCTAAAAATTCTCAACTCTCCTCCATTGTTCCCTCAGGCTTGTGCTCAGGCTCCGCTGCTGTGCCTCTGCTATCTTCTGGTGTCACGGGTTTCTGTTCCTGGCTGGAGGAGCTTCCGTTGGCAGGAGCCTGCCTGCCTCAGGGTCACAGGATGCGCTCCCTCCTGAGCCTGTATTCTTACTGGTAGTGAGGTCTGCGCCTTATGTTGCCAAGCTGGCTCACTTAGCCTGCAAGATGGCAAAAGTGAACAGTCTGCTGTGGAGTTGGAAGTATTTATACACGAGAGTTAACCGTGTTGACATTCACTCATAACTGCATCATATAACCTGGTCCAGCCCCATCAAGAAAACCTTTTGGTGGGAGTTACAAAGACTATGGCTACAAGAACCAGATCAAACAACTCACTGCAGCACAATAATGTACTTGTCATAATTTAAACTTAGAATAAATGTTTAATGATTCTTACTACCTCACTCATTCATGTAAGTGTTTTGTGGCATGATCTAAAAAACGAGAAACTTGACAACTTAATTGTCTCGTTCTCTCAATAAATTTTCCTATTTTAGCCATAGGAATTTTAAATGTTCAGATTAGCTGAACGCTTACTTCTTTTTTTTTTTTCCCTATGACTACTTTACACTTCATATACTGGATTCGATTCCACATCAGCACTGGTCAGAATCAGCCTGGGGGGAGGGGGGGTGTCAGCTAAGGGCTTGTATTTCCAGGTAAAAAAAGATGGTACTGCTATCCTTTTATCAATATAATTTTCAGGAAAATAATAGAAACTCACTGAAAGAGCTTCAGCATCAGGAATGTAACAGTCTTAACTATGAGGTTGATAACGGTGAGATCTGGGATTGAGTCAAAGAGCCCTGCTGGTTCCTGGGCCAAGTGTTGGACTGCTAACCAGCTCCTCTGCAGGAGAAAGATGAAACAGCAGTCTGCTTTTGTGAAGAGCGGCTCAGAATTCACATGGTGGCCTCTGGTGATGCCCCTCTATCCATGATGGAGGGGTGGGGATTGCTTACAGAACAGTGCATTGGAGAGAGGACTGTAGGAGACCAAAATGATAAGCCTGGATTGAGCAGTTAAAACCTTGTCAGTTGACCCCCCACCCCTCTACACGTTGGGCCTGATCTGGGTTTCAACATTTTCTGAGTGGTTTTTTGTTTGTTTTCCTTTATTGGGGTTTAGTGCTGATGTGTTTTGTCATTGGGGGTAACCCTCTTGAATTTTTGCTATATATGTTTTTCGGGATATGAAACCCAGGATTGATGAACCTGTAGAGACAGCAAATAGAATAACGGTTCCTGGGGAGTACAGTGGTGGGGGGTGGGGGGTCAAGGGGAGCTGCTATCGAGGAGTTCAAGGAAGAACGCTTTCAAACTGATAGTGGTAGCAGTTGTCCAACGCTGTTTGATGTGATAGAATTTGGAATAAAATGGTTTTGAAAAAACAACATACGGGACATGAAAACTACCTATAAACTGCAAAAGCGGGTGGGCTGTTGGAGTGCCATTTCCCCCTAACCTCTGAAATTGATGGTGTGGGTTAGATTAATATTAAGTGTTTTGTTTCTAGGTGAAGATGGCTCTTCGAACATCAGGACATCTCTTACTGGGAGTAGTTCGAATCTATCACAGGAAAGCCAAATACCTCCTTGCAGACTGTAATGAGGCCTTCATCAAAATAAAGATGGCTTTTCGGCCAGGTATAGTTCGCCTTTTGTAAAAATCTGAGGGCGTAATGGTTCGAGGAAGAAACTTGCTTTGCATTCACTTGGTCTGCCTAAGGAATTATTCAACATCACCTTTTTTTTTTTCTTTTTTCTCCGAAGTTTCCTTTAATGTACAGTGAACCCTCGTTTATCGTGGTTAATCGGTTCTAGACCCTACCGTGATAAATGAAATTCCGCGAAGTAGGATTCCTTATTTGTAAATCAAATATTTTCGTAGTTAGAGCATAGAGGACATGAAAAAACACCCTTTAGTCACCATTACACTCGTATTACCCAATTTATTAAACGAAAAAGGGAAAATACAGTAAAGCATTTTGGACGTTACAATTATCATTTATTTACTATATTATTTATGGCATCTAGTTTACAGTATTACATATTTCACATACAGTATTATTATTATACATAGTTCTTGCAAATACTGTAGTCAATAGCCTATGAAATGACTTAAGGGATGTACTCTACAGGTGGGTCGCCGTCTTTTTCCTCTGAAGGAGCGGGTGTAGGCAGTGGGTGCTGTTACGCAAAAACCTCGATAGAGTGAAGCCGTGGGAGTCGAAGCGCGAAGTGGCGAGGGTTCACTGTATATAGAATTAAATCACTGGGGGCCAAAGTGTTGAAAGCTAATTGTTGCATGATCATAGCTCAATAGAAAAATCAAGATTTAAGTATCTTTTTCTTTCTTTTTTTAAGTATCTTTTTCTTGAATAAGTGCTCTTAATATCAAATTTACATTTAACTTAAATTACCGAGACTTTTCACTAAACGTTCTCTCCGGGTTCTTGTTTTATTTTAGGTTCTAATTCCAAAATTGGACACTGGCCACACTAGACCTTTATCTGGGGGATTTGTTTGTTTGTTTTTGAGCAATGGTGAGATGTTATTCTAGTTAAATAATCTGTATGGGAGAGTTGTCCAATAAAATAACATCTGCTGAGCCCTGGTGGCTTAGTTGTTACGAGTTGGGCTGTGATCCACAAGGTGGACAGTACAAAACCACTAGGCACTCCACGGGAGAAAGACAAGGCTTTCAACTCCCATAAAGAGTTACACTCACCGGGGCAGTTCTACCCTGTCCTCTATGGCTGCAGTGAGTCAGCATGGACTTGCTGGCAGTGAATTTGGTGTTGGTTTACTGAGGGTATATCCTAGAGCAGCTTCCCTTTCTGTTAACACATGGTCCATTTTGAGACTTAGAAGTAAAATGTTTAGGCATGATGGTTATGCTAGGGTATGTGAATGCTTTCTAACACGGGGGAGTGGAGGAACTACATGCATCTTAAGTAACTTGTTTCTTGTCTTTTCCTTTTAAAGCAATATATATTATAATAGCTTGTTTGAGAAATGCAAGGGGGGGAAATCAAGAACAATTAAAACCCCATAATATTACTCTTTAAAAGAATCAATGCCCTAATGCTAGGTTATGCCTTTGCTCTAATTCCTTTTCGTAAATTCCATGCTTACTTACTTAGTTTAATGGCATGAGCCTTTTATCAGCTTGATACATAATCATTAGTGCTTTGACTAGTTTAGGTTCAGTGTGTAGAACAGCGTCTAAGAACAGAAGTTCTTTTGCTTCCATGTATTTTGCTTATGTTACCAACTCGTAGAAAATTGTACCAACTTTTCCCTCCTTTTAATATCGAAATAATATGTGGTGTAACTAGACTTTCAAGCTTGGCATTTGTCTTTCAGGTGTTGTTGATCTTCCTGAAGAAAACCGGGAAGCAGCTTATAATGCCATTACCTTACCTGAAGAATTTCACGACTTCGACCAGCCTCTTCCTGATTTAGAGTATGTCTTTCTTTGATTGTTGGCTTGGTCTATAGAAAACTGTTGTCTTCCAAATGTTTACTTTTATTAGACTGTTTTGGCCATTGAGTTAAATAAAGCTTAGATATATATGGTCTTATTTTGGTTCATTTATAAACATGAAATGGTATAACCCAGAAAGTGTTTCTTTAAGAAAATCACATAGAAGCTGTCAACTTTCACTCACCTAAGAAGAGAGACTTCTGACTGGCTTAGGCCAAAGCTTTTGTACCATACTGTTGTCCAGCTATGTGCTTTGTGTAATGATAACCATACACGTGAAATGTTGTTGCATGGCCCCTTTATTTTAGAAGAATGCTTAGCAATGCTGTGCTATACACTTAATAATATACTGAAGGCGGTGATCTTGGCTATGTTATAATCAGAACCTTGTTTGTTTTTTCATAAATCATAGCTTTCTATAAAGAGCAAGAAAGGGTCATTGTTAAAATGTATATATTTAAGAGAACATTTTGTAGAGAGCTATCTAGAGTACTATGGCATACTGTTAACCTCTGAAGTCTATGAAACCCAGCTTTTAACATGGTGACGGGGAAGGTGAGTATGACTTGCCACATAACTAACAGTTGGCAACCAAGAAACTTTACACACCAAGTTGTGATCTTGCTCATATCATGTTCCAGTTAAGACCGAATGCTCAGATTTTGAAAATAATCTCTTGATAATCTGCTCTGATTAGAGTAGATTCATGGCCTGTTTGGATTTGTGTGTTCATAATAAGCACTGTGAGTTGGAATTGACTCCTTGGGGCCCGACCACCGCCACCACCTTCTTTGGTGGTGGTGTTTTGATTGTACCCATCATCTGGTGACTATAATGATCAATGTATTTATTTCACTCATACGCCTCTAGTTCACCCAACTCCCACCAGGTTATTTTTAAGTGAATAATATTTTATTTCATGTGTAAAAACTTCAATGTTTTAATATTACTATAATGTTACTTTAAATAAAAATCTTTGAACATAATCAGTAATTGTTTAAAAGTACTCAGTGGATAGCACAGTTTGTTTGGATAGAGGTATAAATAAAGTCCACAAACTATATAATAGCCTTGCCTCTTCAATATTTCCTTTTTTGTTTTCCCTGGCATTTGATGATTAAAGCTGGTCATTTGTTTTGAAGTATTAAACTCTGCATTTGGCCAGTAGTATTCCAAATTAAGGAGTCCTTTGGTTTAGGTGTTGGGATCCTAAACGCTAGGTCAGCAGTTCAAACCCAAACTTAGTGCAAGAAAGAAGAGCCTATCTGCGCCCATTATATCTGCGCCCATTAAAGATTTACTGTCTCCCCAAACTCTAAGGAGCAACTCCACTCTGTCCTGTAAAAATGGACTGTTAATTGGAATAAGAAGCCCAGTGGTTTTTATTCCAGGTTAGCATTTAACATTGTTTAATTTTTACTTTAAGATCATTTTATTGGGGCCTCTTACACCCCTTATAACAATCCATACATCAGTCATATGTGTGCATATGTTGCCATCATCATTTTCTAAACGTTTGCTTTCTATTTGAGCCCTTGGTATCAGCTCCTCTTCCCTCCCACCCTTGTGACCCCTTGATAAATTATAAGTAATTATTATTTTCATACCTTACACTGACTGTTGTCTTCCTTCACCCACATTATTTATTTATTTGTAAACTATGAAAAATTGGTTTGTTAGAATAAGAAGCTGAGAGTCTCAAGTTTACTTCATTCATTCAACCTTTACAATGAAAGCATAGGTGTAATTATATTTTAGTCCATAGATTAGTAAAGTTTTCTGCTAGATACATCATATTACTTCATGTGGAAATTTATTACTAGCCATTGACGGTATATGATGGGGCTTAAAAAAAAGCTCATGAAGACATTTCATTACCTTTCAGTTTCATTTTTCCAAGAACTTCCTGACATCCTTTCCCTGCACCGCCCCCTCCCCGCCCCCAATTAGGTATATGGAAGTACAAATTAAGGTCCAGTTGTTCACATTCTCAGATTGTACTGATATGTATTCGGCATTAAATATATTAAAGCCGTTAAATGTTGGGTTTGTTTGTATGTATGCTTCATTTTTTCCTTACAAACATTGCAGCGAGACTTGAGACATCGCTAAAATGTCTTTTGGTTTTTTTTTAAGTGACATTGATGTGGCCCAGCAATTCAGCTTGAACCAGAGTAGAGTGGAAGAGATTACCATGAGAGAAGAAGTTGGAAATATCAGTATTCTACAAGAAAATGATTTTGGTAATAGATAAGTGAATTTTTAGCCATTTCCTATAATGTTACAGTCATGTGGTAGCACTAGGAAATTGAATACTAATGGATCCTGTATATCAGTCATAGACTTGTGTATATACTTATGTAGAAGCCGGGGTTTTCCAGCACATTTTTTATGCGGTTTTTGTGGTAAAATTAGGTGCCTTGACTGATGTTCAGGTGAGCTTATACTCGAGTGTATACGGTATGTAATTTGGATTATCCTTTTGGGTGTACTAGTCATGTGCCAGGCAGCACTAGTGGTGTAGTGGTTTACTTGCTGGGCTGCTAAACACACAGTCAGCAGTTCAAAACCACCAGCTGCTCAGTGGAAGAAAGATGAGTTTTTTACTCCAGTAAAGGTGGGAGCCCATGATGGCAGTCCCACCTGTCGTTACAGGATTACTGTGACTTGCACTTGATTTGATGGCAGTGACTTTTTTAGTCAGTCATGCCCTACCGTTATAGTTAAAGCTTGATATTTTTACATTCAAAGATAAATAAGTCTTCAGCAAATAAATGTGACATAATTGAAATGTATAATTATATAGTACGTAGTAATTAGGATCTTTCTAACCTTTTTCAACTAATAACTTACTGAAAATGTGTTCAGGTGACTTTGGCATGGATGATCGGGAGATGATGAGAGAAGTCAGTGCTTTTGAGGATGACGACGTGTTAGTCAGCTCAAATACTTCTAACCTCTTGCTGGAGCCCGAGCAAAGCACCAGCAATCTGAATGAAAAAATTAACCATTTAGAATATGAAGACCAATATAAAGATGACAATTTTGGAGAAGTGAATGATGGTGGTATTTTAGGTAGGTAACAATGAAGTCATTGTAACATGTACCTACTTGTTACAATGTTAGGTACATTGTAACATCAGCATAATGCAGACATGATTAAGTTCCAAACAAGTAACAAGGTAGTTGATTAAAGTGTGAGCAGTGGGGGTAATTTCTTTAATTAATCGTGATGTTCTAGAGCAGGTGCTGATTCTGAGGCTTGAGTATATAATACTAGGAACGTATATGGGGATTGTGGCCAGTTGATTCAAAGTTTTTTTGTAAAGCTATAGCCTGAAAACAACTATAATATCTGATTCTATTGAGAGGTGCTTATATTAAGAATTTTAAATATTATTGTTAAAACTAAGTGAATAACATTTGAAAAATACATATTTATTAGGAAATAGTGTGACTGAAACACTATGTTCCTATTTAAATGCTCTACACTTTTATACACTTCCTTGAAGAAAAACTGATAGAAGTTGAATACAGATTTAAATCTAAACTATTTTAATATTTTTGTAGCTATTGTTTTTTCATCTGTTTTCCAAATTGTAACTGGGTTATTTTCCTCATATCAGATGACAAACTTATTAGCAACAATGATGGTGGGATCTTTGATGACCCCCCTGCTCTCTCCGAGACAGGGGTGATGTTGCCTGAGCAGCCTACACATGATGATATGGATGAAGATGATAATGTATCGAGTAAGCATTTACTTTAACTCTTAAGTGATACTTGGGCAATGATTGTGTGGCATCCAAACGATACTTAAATTTAACAGAAGAGTAAATTTTCTTTTCTCAAAAACCACACTTGTGACTGATTACCAGTATTTGTTCTGTTTGTGTGTTTAGCCCTGTGCCTCTCCGCTTTTTTGCCAGTGGTGTCAACTTTAGGGGGCAGGGGGATAGAGTGTCCTTTTTTGATACCAGTCGGATTTCTCCCCATTTCATAGATTTTCCTCCCTTCCCTTCCCCCTCAGTTACCGGACATATTTTAAGAGGCATTTTTGTTTTCTAGTGGGTGGTCCTGACAGTCCCGACTCGGTGGACCCTGTGGAACCAGTGACAGCGCTGACTGATCAAACAACACTTGTCCCAAACGAGGAAGAGGCGTTTGCTTTGGAGCCTATTGATATCACTGGTGAGCACTCAAACCCCTTAGTTTATGGAGAGTAGCAACTAAGCTCCTACCATGGCCTCAAGTGTGCCCACGACTGTGTTTAGAAAACTAAGCTGCTTTCTGCTTTGTCACAGCTATCTGTCATAGACTCTTTAATGTATTCCGTCATAATTTGAGAAGTTTGTGAATTGTCCATACAAGTTAATAATAGCAGAACTGATAGAATGCAGCTTTGCGGGATTTATGTAATATAGTAGTCTCTCTCCATCTTCATGGAGATGAGTCTACGGACTGCAAGCTGTGGTGTACGAAGGATTAGAAATGAATGTGCGCAGTGTTGGGGGAGGGGGAGGCTTCCAGCTCTGACTGGGCTTGGGCTTGTTCTACAACTGCCATATGTGAACTGTAACTTTTTCCAGAGAAATGATGATTGCAATCTTGAATACAGAATTTAATCTGTATAAGACAAGACACGAAGTATTTTCCCATCTCTCTGGGTTCATTAGCCCTGTTACACATGAGAAAATGGAGACTTCGAGCAAGATACTCCATCATGTCCATGCAGCTAAGAAACTGCAAAACGTAGGCGGTGTGATGTTACAGGGGCAAAGTGTATCGGTGGTATTTGACTACTTTTGTGTGGGAATATATGAACTTTCAGCACATTTATTGCATATATATTGTTTGTCAGCCCCTACTGTATGCACTTGGGAAACATCCATTTATAAGAGATCCCTACCCTTGAGCTACAATAAGAACCTGTTATTAAAACCCAAACCCATTGCTGTTGATTTGATTCCAGAGTAGGGCTGCCACGTTGTTTCCAAGGCTAAAATCTTTCTGGGCAGAAAATCTCTTTTTTCTTTCTCAGAGTGGTTAAGTTCAGGTGGCTTACATTTCATTTAGTGCTTAACCTCTGCACCACTGAGGTTCCTTTCAGAACCAGGTATAGCTGAATATTTCATGCTGGCCTGTCAGGAAAATGACCTCTTCCCCCCCCCTTCTATACTGCCAGTCAAAGAAACAAAAGCCAAGAGGAAGAGGAAGCTGATTGTTGACAGTGTCAAAGAGTTAGACAGCAAGACCATTAGAGCCCAGCTGAGTGATTACTCTGATATTGTTACTACTTTGGATCTGGCTCCACCCACCAAGAAACTGATGATGTGGAAAGAGACAGGAGGAGTGGAAAAGCTTTTCTCTTTACCTGCCCAGCCTTTGTGGAATAATAGACTACTGAAGGTAATGGAACTTTCTTTTTAAAAAAAGGTCCCAAAACCTTTGCTTGAGTCATTCACTAGTTGTTCTCAACCTTTGATGAATTATTACTGTCCTTTGCATGCATCTTGAGTAAAATAGGGTTCTATTACACCACCACCCCCCCACACCACCCCCAAAGTAAATACTGGCTTTCTGAGAGTCCATTCTCCTGGGTTCTGAAATGAGGGTAGAAGAGAGCCGCAGTGCTGTTGGTCTCGCGCTGCTGACCACTGAACCGTGTGCAGACACCGCGTCACATGCTTGCATTGTTTTCTACATGCAAAGCAGCAAGTTAGGGTGCAGCTGCTCTTCATTGGAAGCACTGTTCTTGTAATGTTTGGACGGAGGTCCTTAAAATATTAGTGTTCTTTGACTGAGTAAATAAACTCATTTTTCTCTTAGATATAACTTGAAATATAGATAAAAACCATTTACATGAAAAAATGTTTGATACGATGATATTTGTGATTTGGAAAATTGAAAAATATGAATAGAATAAGATGAATGAAACTAATAAAATGAACAATAGAGGAATTGTATGTTCACTATAGAATATTAATGCAGTTCTTAAAGAATGGTAGTTAAGCTTATTATATAGTTGCCGCCATCTTATTAGTGCATCTCTGAGTTATGAATTGAAAAATTGACATTTCTTTTGTGTTTTATTCCATAGCTCTTTACACGCTGTCTTACACCACTTGTACCAGAAGACCTTAGGAAAAGGCGGAAAGGAGGAGAGGCTGATAACCTGGATGAATTCCTCAAAGAGTTTGAAAATCCCGAGGTCCCCAGGGATGACCAGCAGCAGCAGCTTCAGCAGCAGCAGCGTGATGTTATTGGTTTGTTCTCTTGAATCAGTTTTATGAGGCAACTTAAATGAGTGTCTGTCTTTTAATGTCCCTGTTATATTGTTACAATAAGAATCCCTGGTGCCATGGCGGGTTACATTTTTAACTGCTCGCCATAAAGTCACCTGTTTGAAACCACCAGTTGCTCCTCAGGACACAGATGGTTACATACTTTTTAACTTCTCAGGAAACCCCCAGGCGCAGATCTACTCTGTTCCTGTAGGGCGCCTATAAATCGGAACCGCGTTGTTGGTGTTTGTTTTGGTTTGATTTTAGTTATTATCAAGAAATATGCCCCAAATTTTTGGATGGCACAATACGCTGTATCAAAAAAGAAAACGGTCTGCCATCTGTGTGGCTTGTTCGATATGCTGCTTTCTGTTTCAGAAAGTCCCAGGTTTCTGTGTGACCATCTGCTAAAGAATTGTCCTACACCGGACTATAAGTGAAGCTTGTCTTTTTAAGGTCTTTTCAGTGTTAAGGGAGCTTTAATGAGATTAGCTCAACTGCTAATGCAAAGGTTGGTGGTGCTAACCTACCTACCAGCCATCCCGGGGAGATGGTATGACAGTCTGCTCCTGTGAAGATGGGCAGTCTTGAAGCCCTCTAGGGCATGCGTGCACTGCTCTGTAATGTCACTACAAGTCAGAATATATCAACCTTAATGCCAGATCGGTTTGACCGTTTTGGGTCTTTTGATCCCATCGTTCAGATGATTAATCTTTGTTGAGTAAAAATATTTTCTGGCCTTCATTAGGAAAAATGCCCATCTCAGTGTAATAGTATCAAAAAAATGTTACTTAAGACTTAGCTTCCTTTTCAATCCGACCATTACAGACGAGCCTATTTTGGAAGAACCGAGCCGCCTTCAGGAGTCAGTCATGGAGACCAGCAGAACAAACCTGGATGAGTCAGCCATGCCTCCACCACCACCTCAGGGAGTTAAGCGAAAGGCTGGACAAGTTGACCCAGAGCCCGCGGCACCTGTAAGCAAATTATCCTCTACATCTCTGGGAGGAGCCCTGGAAGTAACAAGGGAGACCTTTTGAATTCCCTTTGGGGGTCAAACGACCCTTTCTCAGGGGTCGCCTGATTCATAACAGAAAAATTACAGCTATGAAGTAGCAACGAAAATGATTTTATGGTTGGGGGGGGGGTCACCACAACGTGAGGGACTGTATTAAAGGGCCGCGCCATTAGGAAGGTTGCGAACCACTGATTTAGAGAGTGACAGTTGAGATGAACACACTCTGCTCTAAACGGGAGACGGCCTGGGCGGCAGAACTCAGCATCTTGCTAACTGGCTCTAGCTTCAGCGTGCCCCAGAGTGGGCGGCCTGACTCTAAACTTGTCTTGGGCTTGTTGGTTAGCAAGCCTTGCTCTGTGCTTCCGCTCAGCCTTCATTATATACTTGTCAGCAGGAAAGAGTACAGCACCATCTGGCCACTTCCTTCCGTCTTTCCCTATCCTGAAGTTTATGTCGGAGATCTAGTTTGGGGCTGCTCGGCCTTAAGTCTGAAACACAGTTGACCAGAGGGAGGCCTTTTGGTAGCCTCAGGCCCCTGGCTCAGCCTGCAGAAAGAGCCATTGACAGCAGAGTCCTCTGCCAAGTTTAGAAACCACTCACCTGGGCCTTCTGGTGTTGAAGAATAGTTTCTTTGAAGCTCAGGAATGGGAATAAGAACAGTGGGTGACTGACTACACCATTCTACGTAGTTATTTTCCTAACACTTTTGTTAAAGCCCTTTTTTTTTTTTTTTTTGAGATTGAGGAAATATAGAAATGGACCTGGAAAAAGGAATTGTCTCTTCCCTACTATTTGCTGCCATAAAAGCTCTAACACATATTGAAAATTCCAAGTTTAGGCTTTTAAATTATAATGACCTTCAAACTATTCATGGGATAGCAGTCGTAGAGTAGGTGTTGCCATTGCGTCTGTCCCCAGCTCATCTTCAAAAGGATTGAGCTCTGCTTAGTGCTGTGCTATTACCGGTCACGTTCTTGTGGCCCACGAGGCTGTCATTGGTAGATTTTTCGGAAGTAGACCACCAGGCTTTCCCTAACCTGCCTTAGTCTGGACGTTCTGCTAAAACCTTGTTCAGTGCACAGCAGCACAAGAGCCCTCACGGAAGGACAGGCAGGTGACCGCTGCATTGTATCCCCGGCCTCCTGTGGGAGGAAAAGGCATGACCACGAAGCCCCTGGCTGCTTCACTGGTGGATTTTGCATATTTTAGAATGCTCCCTCACAAAGTTGGATTGTTTTATATTTTCTCTTAAAAATTTCTCCCATTAAATATTTGATCCTAGGAAAATAAGTATTAACGTGCGTGTTTTTATTAACATATCTTTTTTTTTAATTAACATTTTATTAGGGGCTCATACAACTGTTATCGCAGTCCATACACACATCAATTGTGTAAAGCGCATTTGTACATCGTTTCTCAAAACATTTTCTCTCCACTTAAACCCCCGACATTAGGTCCTCATTTTTCCCCTCCCTCGTGAGCCCTTGATAGTTTATAAATGGGTATTTTGTCATATCTTGCCCTGTCCGACGTCTCCCTTCACCCACTTTTCGGTTGTCTGTCCCCCAGGGAGGAGGTCACATATAGTTCCTTGTAATCGGTAACATATCTTAAAGTTACCTTATTTTTCTTGCTTTAAGCCTCAGCAAGTAGAGCAGTTGGAAGTGCCTCCTGTCGAACTTCCCCCTGAAGAGCCTCCGAGTCTCTGTCAGCTGATTCCAGAGCTGGAGCTACTGCCAGAGAAGGAGAAGGAAAAGGAGAAGGAGAAAGAGGAGGAGGAAGAAGAGGAGGTAGGGGGGCTTTTTTTAAATACCCATTCCAGGTGTGGCAAAAGTCTTCAAATAATTCTTTTCATTTTTCCTATTAAAGCTAAATTAATTGATGGCAATCTTCAGGGTGATGGGAAATGTTTAATGAAAATGCTTTAAACAGACTTCTGCTGTAGATCATCCTTAAGAATATCAGATTTTATACTTCATTATAATTTATTGGCTGTTCCTGCACTGATTTCTTACTTGACTTTTAAACTATTTATTGCTGCTTATTTTATGGTCCTGTGGTCAGTGGTTAATTCATACTGCTATTAGCCTCTGCCTCTTGTCTAACCCCTTCTCTGTCTGTGGCTTGGAAATCAGATAACCAAACATTGTATGTGGGTTTTTTATTGTTCCTATTAGATTGGAGTTGGACATGACTTGGCTCAAATACAGTTAGTCAAATCTTAAATGAGTTATTTTTTCATTTAGTTAGAGGCGCCATAGGAATTTATCTTATTTTTCTAGATCCTGCTTTGGCCTTTAAAGGTATTACCCATTTCTGGTTCATTGAGTTTTACAATACAACGTATTCATTTTCTGTTGTTTCTCTGTCGAATATCTTCTTCAACTAAACATTTACATTTAAAATTTAAGTACCTTCCAAGTACCATGGAAACTTCAAATTTATCATTAGGTAGCCATTTAGATTTTGCTACCACTTACTAATTATGAATACTATGGTGTGTTTAATAAGAATGCTGTGGTGTTTTCAACTCAAAATTCAGCGCCAAGACCCCTAGACAGGCAGTGTTCGTGCTGCATTGGCATTCAGACCTGTTGTGTCTCCTGTTATGTGTGGTGCTGCAGAATCCTGGCCCTTTGCCAGCATAGCCGGTAACACTTAGGCTGTCGCTCTGCTAGCTGCAGAGCTCACAGTGTCCTTTGGGAGTCAGCTTTGTTGCTGGATGTCTCCAGGACAGTAATTGTTACAGGATATAGCCCTCATATATATCTCTTATTTACATATATAAGCTCTTAAAGACGACACTACTAATTCAATACTGCATCCCTGGTGCTCTTTCACCTATAATGAGATTAAGATCTTCTGCCAGAATATAAATCATGTAGGAATCATGCTATCAGAAAAAGTTATTTTTAAATCATGTACTTAGTGACATAGATTTTTTTTGTTGTTATGGTACAAATTCCTTATCTCCATGGGGGTCAACCAACAATAGGCTGTGGATCACACTACATAGACCACATCTTTATAGAGTAATACACAGGCATATAGTCAGCCACCTGTTTGCCTGCAGATCCAGAGGACTTTGCTCCATAGTGTAAGAAAACAAACTTCAAAGAACTTCAAACTTCAGAACTGCTAGATGTTTGCTGAGTGATTTTTCAGTAGCATAATAATAATAAAAATAAGCCAAATTGCAAAATTACAAGTAATTGTTGAGCATCGGGTGGGCCATGTGGAACCATTTCAACAACTATTTTTGTCGTTGTCATTTTCACTCAGGATGAAGATGCTTCAGGGGGTGATCAGGATCAAGAAGAAAGAAGGTGGAACAAAAGAACCCAGCAGATGCTTCATGGCCTTCAGGTGTGCCTCACGTGCTCTGTGAGAAACATGCTAAATGAGAGGGCCTGCCTTTTTTCTGTCAAAACTACATCATTTTAAAGATACTTTAAACACATAAGCCATCTGATTAGGCTTCAGGCACCATGAGTTTCTTGCCCTGTCCCCTCGCCACACCCACACACACACAGTACCCAGGAGAGTCAACACAGCTGGGTGCTTAGGAATAGGAAACGAAGGCGCAAGGGAGCTTGCTCTGTTTGTAAGGAGTAAGTATAATGCCTTTGTGTTGCTTGCATTAAATTCAGTGAGTACAGATCTCTCCTGTGAAGCCCTGAAGTGTTGTCAGTTAAGTATGGGGCTGCTGGTTGCAAGGTAGGCATTTGTAACCCAAACCCACCAGCCACTCTGCGGGAGGAGAAACCTGAAACTTTCTAGCTCCCATAAAGATTCACAGCTTTGGAAACCCTATCAAAATTGCGATGAAGCAAGATTGACAACTGGGTTTGGCTTTGGGAGTTGGGGTAGGGGTTAGTGTGGCAGTGGTTCTCAATCTGTGGGTCGCCTAAGACAATCAGAAAACACATAGCAGTATTTCCAATGGTCTTAGGAACTGAGACACCGCTCTTCTATCCTGGGTCCTCCCACGTGCAGATACTGCCACATATGAGCACCTGGTGTGAAGACTGTTGACCATGCTACACCATGCTTCAAGACATTTCATTAATTTGTAGTTAGAAATAAATATTTCACAATATCTAATAACATACTGTTTTTGTGAGTAACCACTATAATTATGTTCAATTTGTAACAATGAAAACACATCCTGCATGTCAGATATTTACATTACAATTCATAACAGTAGCAAAATTAAACTTAAATAGCAACAAAAGTAGTTTTATGGTTGGGGGTCACCACAGCATGAGGAACTGTATTAAAGGGTCACGGCATTGGGAAGTTTGAGAACCACTGGTCTATAGGATTAATCAAGTGATTTAAAACCGTTTGAAATGAGAATGATGGTTAGTTTTTTGATCCAATTCCCATACAGTGCACATATTTTGGTAGCCTGCGTTGGCATCCTTTTTAAATTACGTTGTTGTGCAAGTTGCTTCGACTTAACTCGTCTTCTTTGCTCTATTTCAGCGAGCTCTTGCTAAGACTGGAGCCGAGTCCATCAGTTTGCTTGAGCTGTGTCGAAACACGAACAGAAAGCAAGCTGCAGCAAAGTTCTACAGCTTCTTGGTTCTTAAAAAGCAGCAAGCTATTGAGTTGACACAAGAGGAACCGTACAGTGACATCATCGCCACTCCTGGACCAAGATTTCATATCATTTGAGCAGCTAGAAGCATTATAGCTAGTGTTCATTTCACTAGTGTGTACAACTTGCCCCCGTGTGTAGGGCACATAAAACCCTTTCAGAAAATTTAGATTTTTGTCTGTACAAAGTCTCTTCCTTTTTCTTTCTTCACACCCACCCCCACATTTTAAATTTATTATATCTTTAAGGGAAACTACTATATATATGGATTGTGTTTGTGTTCTGATGGAGAAAACACGCATCCTAATGGACCCAGAAGATTATTATCTTTACACAGTTGAGAACAGATGTGTGCAATATTGATGCATGTCGTAATATTGGTTGACAGTCAAAAAGTCATCATTTCTACCTTTGTTCTTCATGACTGCATTGAAAAGATAAACCTGTCTGGGGAAATGCCCAATAAGTTAACGAGAATGTTGATGGTGAGTCTGAGAAGAATTCTTTCCCCATCAGTAACATAGACAATCTCTGTTAACCTCCGTGCGTGGTGGTGATGATGATACCTGAACAACAGAAGTCATGCCCTTGACTTATGTTTAGAGTATAATTCCATAGTGAGCAAGGAGAGTGTGAAATTAATTTGTATCTGATTTCCTTCAGCTCTGAAAGCATGAGAATCATGCTTGATTTAAATTTTATTTTGTAAATCATTCCATTTGAGTCCTCACGGTGAACCTTGTGGTCCTTAAATCATGTTTTAATGAGGCTTCAGAATGAACAGAAGCAGATTTTTTTAATAGAATGACTGTATAAACATTTTTATAACTTGCCAGCAGCTGTAAAATCAAAGTTTTTTAAAAAAGATGTTTGAATATATTTGAATGTTCAAATCATGAAAATTGAAATTGTGCCTATTAAAAGTACAGACTAATGGGAAATTATACACCTGGTTGACTTAGGCTTTAAGCAGATGATGCTGTAAAAACGAATGGCTTCTCTGATATTTATTGTAAGTTTTAGTACTGAGCTCTCTTTCCAGTGCTGCACACTCCTGTGTTTGCAACTTTATTTTGATCGCTTTGCAACAGAAATCCTGTATCCAGTTTCCTGTAATTTAAATGATGAAATACGTTTCCAAATAAAGATTTTATTATTAACACACTAGATAGTATCAGAAATTTTATGTGACTTGTGATTATCGAAATATGTTTTAATTTTTTAGGGCAAAATTACTCAGTGACAGTTCAGGCATACGTGTTGGCACTTTTGTGGGAAAACAAAATCACTTGAAACTGACTTAGCTGTATACCCAATGTAAAATTATGTGAAATGTTCTAAATTTGTGACCTCGTAATTACTGTTTTAATGATTCAGTTTTCTTGAGAATAGTAATTGTATAAAATTGCTATTGCAGCTTTACCTTCAATAATCATGTGCCTGTAAACCTTGGATTTCCCCGTTGTAAAAAGACATTGTAGATAATTGAGTGTTTGATTTTAGAAAGGTCATTAGTTTCTTGTTACACATGTTAGTCTGGTTTTTATTGTTTATCAGGTTTAATATTCTTGAAAATAGTCGATGCTATGTTATGTATAACTTTTCTAATAAAAGTTGTGTCATAAGCTGTAAACTTGTGAGTGGATTATTCAGTTGTTAGCTGGTTGAAGAAATTGACAGCACTGCATCTCTTTTTGCTTAGTTTTATACAAATATAGTGTATTGTTAGAGATTTTCGACCAAAAAACATGAAAGTTAGAATAGTGTGCCCTCGTAACATTTAACTAAAGGATATGTGGTCTGAAACCTGATAAAAATTAAACCAACATGCCGAGTACGCACATCATGACATGCCCGTGGGCCTCGGTCTCAATAAACTCGTTGCTCAAGCAGCTGCTGGAGATTGTCTAAGAAGCGTTAGTCTGTCAATTTGTCATTGGCTAGCTTGTGTGTGACTGATGCTAAAAGGTATGCCATTGGGTTGTCACAAAGTCACCCGTAGTAGACAGCAAGTGTTAGGTGCCATCTAGTGCTCCAACTCTGAAATCCTGTGCGGCGGCGTTCCGTCCTGCACCATCCTCAACGTTGTTTGAAGTCCATTGTTGGAGCCACTGTGCCGATCGGTCTCATCAAGCACCTTCCACATACCCTCAACCAAGCATGATGTCTGTTTGCAGGGGCGCCTGGCGAGTCCACAGTGCATCTTGCCAGTCCTCGCTGCCGAGTATCCTGGCTGTGCTTCTGAGACAGGCTTGCCCTGGCAGTTCATGGTACCTAAAATGTCTTTTGCCAAAATGATATTTCAAATGCATCAATTTTTTGATCTTACTGTTAAACTTTAACACGTGTGAGGCCATTGAAAATACATGGTATTTGCCAAGTGCCCCTAAATCCTCAAACATCTTTGATGTTTTACGCTTTCAAGAGACCTTTGCAGCAGATTTATCCAATGTAAAGCATAGTTTGATTTCTTTGCTTCCATGAATGTTGATTGTAGATCAAGTAAAATGAAAACCATCAAATTTCCATCTTCTCTGTGGGTCCAGTTATGTGGTTATAGATACTGATAATCCACTTATTTTTTAAACGACCCATGAAAATCAAGACTAGGAGCAGAGCACTGAAATAATACCAAAATAGTCGCTCTGGCGGAAAGGCACTAAACATCATAGGGTGGGGGTGGGAAGTTGACGGGAAAGCCTTCAGGACTTTAATCTGCTGCTGTGGCTCCACTCAACTGAGAAGGTGACCCGGCAAACAGCCCTCAGTGCTGCGAAGATAGGTGTGAGGTCAAAAATGAAATCAAACGATTGATAGCCTAGTATGAGCTGAAATGAGACATATGCCAGAAGTTACTAAATGAATGGGAAATAGTACATTGTCAATACATTTTAGGGATTATCCTGAAGTAGAATGCTGTCAGTAAGTTGCTGCCTACAAGGAAGATGAGTTCATACAACTGGTACAAGCACAAATGGGAAGAAAC